AGTCACTTCTATCATTATCCATCTCCCTTAAGGAAAAGGCTTTGATTGGGCTTGGTGGTACCCTATTCTAGCTCAATATCAGGTCACTAAATTAGGGCTTCCTAAGTCTTGTCTTTGCCTCTTCTCCTGCTCTTTATTGTATCTAAAAGCTACTCAGACAGCTCTCTGACCTGATTCTTTAGAGATATGTATTTGTGCTCTGCTGGAATCTCTGTCTCCTTCTTGTTTTTAATCTTATTTAAATGTTATTCACTTGGTTTCATAATTAAGCCTCTCTCTCCTCTGACTCTCTGAGGTAGGCATCTGAGCTACCACTTAATTGTGCCTTCCTGTGGTTGGCTTGTTCCTATCTGCACCTAGTTTACCTTGACGTGGGAGACAGGGTTTAGTTCTGTAGAGGCTCCCATATCCATTATTCACTCTACTCCTACCTGGCAACACAAATTGCTACTATCTTCCTTCCCTCCCCCTGTATAAAAGCAGAATAGAAAGAAATCTGGTGAAGTCTCATTGTGTAGGGTACATTAATGCTAGGAACAGCTCAGCAAATAAAGTTCTTTATGAGGTGATGGGAACTTGTGTAAGGTGTCAAGATTCTCAGGGTATGGTACTTTGCTCTTCCTATTTGACAATTAGGTTGCTTTTTCTATTTCTGGTCACTTACTTGGGACTTAAGGAATCAACAAAGATACCTGGTCTTATTCATCTTCTCAGAATCTGGACATACACATTATCCTTTATTCTACCTGCATCTGTATACAGAGAAGTCTGAATTTCTACATACTGCTGTCATATTGTTTCACTAGTTATGATACACATGACTTTCCAAAAAAGTAAAGAAACAAATAGACTGAAGGTAAGTATGAGGCTGATGGTCTCTAGTGTAGATCTAGTTGGCCTCCTGTATAAAGTTTAAAAAAGCAGTGGTTGGAACCAATTTGCAGTTCCTAGAAAGAAGCCCAGAAACTGTTTCTAGGGGCCTGGAAATAGAGGAGTGGAGAGGAAAGGAGAGGAGAGGACAGGAGAAGAAGAGGGAGAGGGAGGAGGAGGGGATGGGGGAGAGGAAGAAGGAGAGGAGAAAATTTTAGTCTAGGTAAGTGTTGGTAACAGTGTAATGGCATATAGGACACTACGTAGTTCATTTAATGAGTGTAAAGTCTTGAAGTGATGAAAGAGAAAAGCATTGTTGCATAGGATATTTGGTCCATTCTTTTTTGTTTGTTTGTTTATTGTGAAAATATACAGATAGATCACAATTACATGGGCAAGGTAATGAGTACATTTCTTTTTTTGTGTGTGGTATAAATTTATTAAATTAAATCATGGAAATAAGATCACAGGGCAGGATGTTCTTTTTCCATCAGGGTAGTGTCCTGAAGAAGAGCACTCACTTGCTAGCAAAGGCCATAATCTGTTCTTTGAGAGGAGACACTGCATTCGTGGCCTGTAAGCCCCAGGTCCTGAGCAGCACCAATGGTATGGCACTGGTAGAGTAGAGCCTCTTTAGGAAGTCTGTAGCAGCCAAAAGAGCAGTGTGTTTTAAGGTTCCTGTTAGCTGGGTGTTGGTGACTCTCACCTGTAATCCTAGCTACTCAGGATGCTGAGATATGAGGATGGTGGTTCAAAGCCAGCCCGGGCAGGAAAGTCCATGAGACTCTTATCTTCAATTAACCACCAACACTGCCTTGAGCTGAAGAGCTCAGGGACAAGGCCCAGGCCCCCAGAGTTCAAGCCCCTTTACCGACAAAAAAAAAAAAAAAAAAAAGCTGCCTGTTAAAACAGTAGTTGAGGATGTAGCTCAGTGCTAAAACACTTGTCAAGCATATATGAGACCTTGAGTTTAATCCCCAGCACTGCAAACAAAAAATAAAAGTAAAATAAAATCCTATAGATAATCACTTTTTCCAGAGGTATTTTAGTAGTAGGGGAGTGGTATCTGACTTGAATTATCAGAAGTAGCACACAGGTCTCTGCAGTACTGACTCTCAGAGCATCATAGAGCTTGACTCTCCTCTATGCTTGCCTCTGCTAATGTCTGGACACAGGTTGCCTCTTGGTCTGTGTCAGAAATTACTCTTTTCCTCCCCTCATATATATCACTTTGCCATCCCTGACTCTGAATCCCAGAGATCAAGACTGGCTGTAGTTCTAGCACAGGAGCAATAAATCATCACTCTTTCATCCTCTCCTCCAGCTTTCCTGCCCCTTAATTACCACTTGGCCACTGCTGAGTCTGCATCTTTGTGCTGTGTGTGCTGAGGACAAAAGTCCTTGTTGATTGGATGTGTGCAAAAGCTGCTTTGTCTCTCTAGCCCTTACATTCCTCACAGTGCCACATGTGTTACTCATCTCTTTCTCTTGTCTCCTGTAGATTTATGGGGTTTGATTGTTAGGTCTATTTATTCATTCACAGGATTTATGTAAACCCTGAGGATTAGGGAGGTGAGATTGGGCAGCCCCTATATGGCTCAGTCATATGATCTTCATTTAGGAAGGCAGTTTGGGCTGGAGTTAGTTTATTTGTATGTAACTTCTTTTATTCCCTGGGCTCCTGGTAGAACTAAGCAGTGTAGGATATATTATGGGGGTATATATATATATATACCCCCACCCCAGCCAAGTTCAATAGATTACTTAGTAACAACACTATCAAAAGGGCCAGCTGCCTAATCATTTGCCTTTCTATCATGAAACTCAGAGAACTTACATCCAGGGAGGGGTAACGGGTTCATAAATGAGAACATCTGCCCAGCTCTTTGCTTTTAGAGGGGAAGACTCAAACCTTAGAAACAGAATGATGGTGCAGCTGGGCTCTTGCACTTCTTTTGCCTGCTGTTTCTTTACTGTACCCATGCTGTTAGGGGACTGAGAGTGAGGAGTGTTTTGTGGCAGGCAACAGTGTCTGCAGTCTCACTCCTACTCTTCCTTTCCTGATGTTCCAAATCAAAGAACACATCTCTGCTCTAAGAGTAGTAAAGTTCACACAAAGCTCAGGCAGCATGGGAGAATGGGCTTTTTTGTTAGCAAAGAAGGAAGATACAATTTTAGAAAGGAAGAGGTCAGAGCTGGACATTGTAGTCTATTGTAGTGGAGTCTGTAATACTAACACATGAGAGACAGAGGTAGGAATAGTTAAAGGCTAGCCAGGGCTACATAGTAAGATTCTGGAGTGCGGGGACAGGAGAAGAGATGGGCAGGACAAGAGAGGAGAGGAGGGGAGGGGAAGAGAAAAGAAGAAAGAAATGGAGAGGTCAAGGCTTTTGAGTTAGAGATCTTGAATAGGTTTGAGTGGGAGAGAATAGAAGGATCACAATTCCCTTAGCTGTAAGAACTTGCAGTTCCCTTCTTGTAGTTTCCCATTGAAAAGGGGAGTAGATAAGAGAGCCTTAGTCAAGATGGACAGCTTTCATCCCATGGACAAATGCTCTAAGTGAATAAGCACATGGCAACGGAGAATTTCTTTTATGCTTAATGCTTATTTGCAAAAATGTATTTAAAGTGTCTGTTAAATCTAAGGACTTGTAGACTCCTTTTTATTGAGATTCCTTAGGTTTTAGCAGTCTTTCCTCTTAACTAAGTATTGTCAGAGGGGAAAAAAAAATCTTTTCAGTAAATGTTATCACTGTCGAGAGAGGATAGAACAACTGTAGAACGGGGCTGGGAAGGTGGCTCAGTGGTAGAGCGCTTGCCTTGCATGCCTGAGGCCCTGAGTTCGATTCCTCAGCACCACATAAGCAAAAAGAAAAAGCCGGAAGTGGCACTGTGGCTCAAGTGGTAGAGGGCTAGCCTTGAGCTGAAGAGCTGAGGGATAGCGCCCAGGCCGAGAGTTCAGGCCCCACGACCGGACCCCCCCCCCACCCCCAAAAAAAAGAACAACTATAGAACAATTATAGAGTAACTATAATTAGTCAAGGGCTCCGTGTGATTGTGTGTGTGTGTGTTTACCTGTATTTGTGCTGAAGAGGTAGAAATTGAGAGAGAGACAGGCAGAGTGGGGTATTGAACCCAGGGTCTTGTGCATGCTAGGCAATTGATCTACCAATAAGGTGCATTACAAGCTCTTTTTAACTTTTATTTAAGATAGGGTCTTGATAGGTTGCCCAGGTTAGCCTTGAACTTTTGATCCTTTTGTCTCAGCCTCCTGAGTAACTGAGATTATAGACTTGAGCCATCACACTTGGTAGGATTTTCTTTTTTCTTTTTATGAGCTCTCATCCTACCCAGAGCGGTAGCCCAGCTATATGTTCTACGGCAATGATATTTGAAACAGGTGTATGGCTAAAATTTGTTGACAATAGATGCTAGCAGTCTGAGGTGGAAGGGGGTCCTCATTTTATCAGTAAATTGAGCAACTTTGCTAGGGGACTAACCATATGGGAGTAAATTTGGAACACTAAGATATCATTTCTAGGCACGATTTTTTAGCTTAATTGCTATTTAAGTAGTGGCAAGAAAGCTGGATGCTGGTGGCTCATGCCGGTAATCCTAGCTACTCAAGAGGCTGGATCTGGAAATCGTGGTTTGAGGCCAGTCTGGGCAGGAAAGTCCATCAGACTTATTTCCAGTTAACCACCAAAAAGCCAGAAGTAGAGCTGTGTCTCAAGCAGTATGGTGTTAGCTCAATAACAGCAGCCAGGCCCTGAGCTCAAATCCCAGGACCAGCACCACAAAAAAGAAACAAAAAAAGTGACAAGAAGTAGACATGTATCTGGGAAGGTGCTTGCCTCAAATATACCAACCTATCTGCTCTTTGAGGGGATTGAACCCAAGGCCTTGTGCATGCTAGCAAAGCAGTCTACCACTGAACCACACCCATAGTATCTACATGTGTTGAAATAGCGTAGCGTACCTCATAAATAATTACAATTATAACATGTTAACCACTTAATAAAATATCTTGTTTGGTAAGTGAAACTCACTCTAGTCCTGTGATTTTGCTATAGAGCTACTCTGCTTTCATTGACCTTTATTGATTATGGTTGTGATTTTTTTTTTTTAAGCCTTGATAAATTTGCTGAAGTTCCTTATGTCAAATGAAACTGTACTTTTGGCCAAACACAACATTTTTACATTAGCCCTTATGGTGAGTAACAAATATTTCTTTTTTTGAATCTATATGCTTAGACAGAAATGGACTGGTTTGAAACTGGAGCTGATGTTCTAGGGAACCAGGCTATATTTTCCTTATGGATCAGAATCTCTAGACTGCTACTTTTATCATTTATGTATTTAGCAAACCTGGGACTTTTTCTCCTTTATGGGAGAATATTCATGTATGAGTGTAGGTCAGATTTGTGTACACAAATAGCCTAGTCACAGACAAGAGACTTTACTATTTTAACATAATTTATGTAATTATAAGTTTATTTGAGTGAATTTTCAATAATGACTATTTTATAAGCAGCTTACAGAAATTCTCGAATATTAGCTCTTGTAATTCAGGAATAGTTGGCTGTAAAATTCTGATAATATTTTCTGATCTTCATATTCTTATGTGTTAAATGGGTTATTCTTTTTTAGATTGTGAATCTCTTTAATATGTTTATCACATATGGAGACACATTCCTGCCAACTCCCAGCAGCTATGATGAACTTTACTATGAGATTATCCGCATGCACCAGAGCTTTGACAACCTCTACTCTATGGGTAAGCTCATTTCTTTTTATTTTATCCTGGTCCTCTTATGTGGTTTTTGTTAAGTCAGAGGAAAATACTACAAAAGACTCTCCCTCCTATAGTTGGTTGGGTGCCCTTGCTTTACATAGAAATAAAGTAGTCTCCTTTTTTCCTAAAGCAGTAGGAGAGTATATTGTGGACCTTTTTGCCTATAGCAACTAACGTTTCATCTTAGTGGAAAAACCCTTTGTTGATGTTTATGAAAGAGAGACTAAGAAGCTGGTAGATTTGGTAAATTCCACTGAGATGGGGGTGAAAGTGTGGGTGGGAATTGATAGCAGCAAATAGAAAAGCTTAGATCCCAAAGGAACATTGTGTAATTTGAGAAGGTATGGGATTTTAGAGTTTAGTGTACCTGTGTATTTTTAGCATAACTTACAAGAAGTGGGCATTAAATAAAAATCATTTTGGCAAGCCTTTCAGTAATTGGCTCACTAAAAATTGTATCTTAAGCCATAATGAGTACAACTTATTTCTGTGTCCCTGCAAGTTTGGGAAACTAGCCTAGTAAATTCTACCTATGTGGAGTGGGAAGGAGCACTGTAGATTGAACAGAAACAAAGCCACTCAGCAAAACTATTTCATTTCAAAAATCCCAACTTATGAGCCTCGATTGTAGCTCAAGTAGTAGAGCTCTTGCTTAGCAAGACCCCCATTACCATCAGAACAAAAAAGAAAAAGGAAAAAAGTCCCACTTTACTGTATTGAGATATAACTGTGTAATAAACTGTTAATGTTTAAAATTTTGGATTGAGTACGTAGTTTAAGTGTAAAACACCTGCTTAAGAAATGGAGGTGGCTGGGCGCTGGTGGCTCACGCCTGTAATCCTAGCTACTCAGGAGGCTGAGATCTGATCTGAGGATCGCGGTTCAAAGCCACTTGGGCAGGAAAGTCCGTGAGACTCTTATCTCCAATAAACCACTAGAAAACTGGAAGTGGCGCTGTGGCTCAACGGTAGGGCACTTGCCTTGAGCTGAAGAGTGCAGGGACAGCACCCAAGCCCAGAGTTCAAGCCCCACGACTGACCAAAAAAAAAGAAAAGAAATGGAGGGCCCTTTAAGTGTAGAACACCTGCCTAAGAAACGTGTGTGTACGTGTGTGTGTGTATGTGGTTGTCCTGGACTCTGTCACTGAGCTTTCGTGTTCAGGGCTTACCACAGCTGCATTTTCAGTTTTTTGGTAGCTTGTTGGAGATAAGAAGCTCATTGACGTTTCTGCTTGGCTTGGCTTCCACCTGTGATTCCCCAGAGCTCTGCCTCCTGAGTAGCTAGGATTGCAGGTGTGAGCCATTGATGCCTAGTCCTAATTAATTAATTACTGTTGGTCATGGGGCTTGAACTCAGGGCCTGGGTTCTGCCCCTGAGCTTTTGGTTTTTTTTTGGTCCGGTCATGGGGCCTGAACTCTGGGCCTGGGCACTGTCCCTCAGCTATTCAGCTCAAGGCTAGTGCTCTACCACTTGAGCCACAGCGCCACTTCCGGCTTTTTTCTTTTTGCTTATGTGGTGCTGAGGAATCGAACCCAGGGCCTTAAGCATGCAAGGCAAGCGCTCTACCACTGAGCCACCTTCCCAGCCCTGCCCCTGAGCTTTTGTTCTCAAGGCTAGAGTGCTACTACTTGAGCCACAGCTTTACTTCCACCTTTTTTGGCAGTTGCTTGGAGATAAAAGTCTCACGGACTTTCCTGTCCAAGTTGGCTTTGAACTGCAAATAACAAATAACAAATTTTGATGTTTTGATGTGTATATGTGTATGCAAAACAGTCACAGTGCCAAGATAATGAAAATATCCATTACTTCTCCAAATCTTCCTTGTATCCTTTATGATCCTTTTATCCCTCTCCCCTTCTTCCCTTGCCCCATCCCTGGATAACTATTGATCTGCTTTTTATCACTATAGATTAATTTGCTTCATCTCCTGTGATGAGACTATTTGTAGAAATTTCAGCTTGTGGGCTGGGAAGGTGACTCAGTGGTGGAGTGCTTGCCTTGCATGCATGAGGCCCCGGGTTTGATTCCTCAACACCACTTAAGCAGAAAGAGTCGGAGGTGGTGCTGTGGCTCAAGTGGTAGAGCGCTAGCCTTGAGCTGAAGAACTGAGGGACAGCACCCAGGCCCAGAGTTCAGACCTCATGACCAAAAAAAAAAAAAAAAAATTCAGCTTGTTTTTGGGACTCCAATGTCATGAGAAGAGTAGAGAGGATTTGGAATAAACAGCAGGAGTAAGAATAGAAACACACAGTAGAAGAGGATTTCCTAGAAGGACCACATTTTTTTCTAATAGGATTTAGTTTTTGAGCAATGGAGGGTATTATTTTAAGAATTGATGTATAGCTTTGATATTATATTTCAGTAGAATATTTGCATATTAGTGGGGTGTTTATATTATATCAGAAGGATGTTTTCAACTGACTTAAAATTATGTTAAGTAGGAGAATTGTTATACCTGTTACAAGAACTTTGAGGACAGACAATTCTGGAATGGTATGGCCAGATGTTCAACAACATCTGCAAGGATTCCTATTTTTTTTCACTTCTCTGCTTTTTTATTTGTAGAATAATAGCTTTAGTACTAGTATATTTCCTCTCAGAACAGCAAGTTCCATTTGTCACAAGATACCTGTCTCTTTGTATTTGAGAACTCTCCCAACAGGCTTCCCATTGGCCAAATATGCTACATGTACCCTGGTGTAGTTTGCATTCTTGTTTTCACATAATGTAGAATTTTCTAAGGTTGAAAAACTGTCCCAGAGGCTTTAGCACCTTGTCAATAAATTAATGAATCTCTCTTTTTTTGTTTGTTTGTTTGTCGTGGGGCTTGAACTCTGGGCCTGGGTGCTGTCCCTCAGCAATTCAGCTCAAAGCTAGCATCTACCACTTCAGCCACAGCACCACTTCCAGTTTTCTGGTGGTTAATTGGAGATAAGAGTCTCACAGACTTCCATGCCTAAGCTGGCTTTGAACTGTCATCCTCAGATCTCAGCCTCCTGAGTAGCTAGGATTACAGGAGTGAGCCACCGACGCCCAGCTTGAAGATACCTTTTTTTTTTTTTTTTTTTTTTTTTGGTCGGTCATGGGGCTTGAACTCTGGGTTTGGGCGTTGTCTTTGCCCTCTTCAGCTCAAGGCAAGCGCTCTATGCTCTACCGCTTGAGCCACAGTACCACTTCCAGTTTTCTAGTGGTTTATTGGAGATAAGAATCTCACAGACTTTCCTGGACTTTCCTGCCCGGCTGGCTTTATCTCCAATAAACCATCAGAAAACCGGAAGTGGTGCTGTAGCTCAAGTGGTAGAGCTCTAGCCTTGAGCTGAAGAGCTGAGGGACAGCACTCAGGCCCAGAATTCAAGCCCCACGACCGACAAAAAAAATGAAAAAATAAATAAAATAAAATAAAACAACAGTAATAATAATAAAAAGAACCAGAAGTGCTGGCCTTGAGCACAAAAGCTCAGGGACAGCACATAGACCCTGAGTTCAAGCCAGGACTCACACACACACACACAAAACATATAAGTATATTTGAGTGCCCACCAGATACTTGCTCTTTCTTTCTTTCTTTCTTTCTTTCTTTCTTTCTTTCTTTCTTTCTTTCTTTCTTTCTTTCTTTCTTTCTTTCTTTCTTTTCTTTCTTTCCTTCTTTCCTTTTTTCCTTTTTTCTTTCTTCTTTTTTTCTTTTTGCCAGTTGTGAGGCTTGAACTTTGGGCCTGGGTGCAGTCCCTGAGCTCTTCAGCTCAAGGTGAGCACTATACCACTTGAGCCACAGCACCATTTCTAATACTTGGTCTTTCAAAGAGTGCTTATGTTGTCTTTTTTTCTGAGTGGTGCAGTTACTATAATGTGTGGCTCTGAAGATCATAGCTGATAGAGGTTATATTCGATTTGCTATTTCTATTATCTCTTCTCTTGTGAATGAGTTTGGGAAAGACAGATTTGGTCAGACTGGGAAGAGTCTTCCTAGTGAAATGTTTCACAAGCCACATGATTAAGCTAGAGGAGTAAAACCACATTACTCCTTGATTAAAACATGACCATCCTTTAGCTGGAGAGGCTTTTGTTACCCTCTTAGTTTCAGAGGGATGCATATGGAGCATGAGCAGACTCTTACGTCAGCCAGTCATTCCTTCTAAATTAGCCCTAGCATTAGAGAAATGACAAATACAGCACCAGATTTTCTTCATTGTAGTTTCCTTCCCCTTCCCTTCCCTTTTCCCTTTCCTTCCCTTTTCCATTCCCTTCCCTTCCCTTTCCTTCCCTCTCTTCCCCTCCCCTCCCCTGTCCCCTCCCCCTCCCCCTCTCCCTTCCCTTCCCTTCTCTTTCTTCTTGTTGGTCTTGGGGCTGCCCTGAGCTCTTCAGCTCAAGGCTAGTGCTCTACCACTTCTGGTTTTCTGGTGGTTAATTGGACATAAGAGTCTCACGGACTTCCTGCTTTTACTGGCTTTGAACCGTTATCCTCTGTTCTCAGCCTCCTAAGTAGCTAGGATTACAGGCCTGAGCCACTGGTGCCCCACTTCCATTGTAGTTTCTAAATGAATGGAAAAACTAAGCCTCTTAACAAGGAGTCAAGGCAAAGAATGAGTAGTGTATGTTTTGGGCAGTAATAGTGTTTGAACTCAGGGTGTTATGCTTACTTACTAGGCAAGCATTCTACTCCAGGAGTAGAGTAGTTTGATGGAAAGCAAGAAGTTAGAAACAAAAATTACTAGAGAAAAGTCATTGGAAGAATCTGTAAGTTTTAATGTTTTCCTCTTGTCTGAGGTTGTTTTTATCGGAAGATTGGCACAGGTTTTGATTATTCTAATAGTGTTATTGAAATGTGTTCATTCCTCATGTATGTGCTGTAAATCAGGGATCTGACAAATCTGTTCTTTCCTTTGCAGTTCTTAGGCTTTCTACCAATGCAGGCCAGTGGAAGGAGGCAGCTAGCAAGGTGACCCACGCCTTGGTTAATATCAGGTAAGTAATGAGACTGTCTTTTTTTTTCAAAGATCTTTGGCTCTCTCTGAGCTTTATTGCACCTTTCTAAGGAGAATACATGGAGCACTACTGCTATTTTAAACCCGATACTGTAGGAGTTGAAGAAGTTGTCTTACTTGATCAAGAAAAGCAGGAGAACATGAAGCTTTCATTTTGTCATATTGAAATAGCTCAAAGTTCTGGCTGTTCTGTGAATTTTCTATCAAGAGATGTTTGTGAGTGCTTCTCAGGTGTCTTAGCTGCCAAAGTGTTTCCTATGTAAAAGCCAACTATCTAAAAGCTTTTCTCTGAAGATTTCTTCTGCTATTCTCTATGACTTTACCTGATGACTCATGGGGTTCTAGAACTTTATGTGGCTATTTCAATTTGTAGTAAACAGGAAGAGGAATCCATAGGATTAAGTCATCTTAGATTCCTTATGAAACACAATACAGTTCTAGAGTGCTGGGTATGTTGTGTGAGACTTGGAACTAGTCAGAGTCATGAGAGGCGCCAGTCATTCACTAAGTGAAAAAGTGCTTATGGCATTAGGGAACCTAACTGATTTTTCTTCTAGTCTTTGCTGTCTTCATGCCTGTGATTTTCCATTTTCTCAACAGTTATTAAATTGTTTTGCAAACAATTGAAAAATTAACATTGAGTAAAAGAGGGAATTGTAACAGATGGGGAACTTGATTTAGCTCCAGATGTAAGTAAGCCTTGACAGACATTCCCATAATAGTAATGAACATGCACAACTTGGTATAGATTCTAATGTGTGACAGAGCTGGGGTAGAATGTTTGTTCCTGTATCTTTCTTTCACAAAGGTAGACTGTCCTGCCCCTTCAGTGATTTACTACAGTGTTTGGTACATGAGGGAATAAAAGAAACACTGTGAAATATGTGTGATAGGAGGGCTGGGATGAGGGAGCATGGGGTGAGATATGCTAACAAAATTGCAATGAAGTTTAGACTGCTTTACATGCCCCCAGAGACATTTCAGCAAATACAGTTTTATAAATCTTACAAATAAATGCATATCTGCACCTAACACATAATCCAGACATTGTGCTGAGGCCTATGATAAATGTGAATTTTTGTAAGAATCTAAAATTACCCAGATATCCGTTTGTGACCCAAGGCCAGTATGACAAATGCCAGTGTTTAAATGAAGCACTAAGATAAGGGCTAGAGTATAGACTACATATGGGGTATAGTTTGTGTTGTATTTATTTATTCCTGTTATTACTCAGGCTTTCCCAGCAGTTTATTTTCATCTGGGGCCTGTTTACTTGATCACATTCCTCAAGGCTTACTTTATCTCCAACTTTGTTGCTTTTCCTTAAGTGGTTTCTGGCTTGGTTGCTGTCCTTATTCTTCCCAAGAGCCATCAAGTAGCTGATTTAAATTTTGGCCTTTCCTTTTTTTCTGAATAGCTGAGAAAGTACCTGGTTGAGTTGAAACAGTGATTGTATCATGACCTCATTCTTGCCTGATTCTATCAGGCATTTGTTTTCATTTTCATTTGCTGCAGAAAATAACCACATTTTTAGCATTGCTAATGAATTAAGTATATGCACCCAAAGTAGCAAAGACTTGTTTGGTTTTCTCAAGAGATTACTGGAAGCATATGTTTGACTCTTAGCATACAAGTCCAGACCAAGGTGAAATACTGATGATACACAGAAGTTTACCTTTTCTCCTATTTTTTGGTTTGTTTGTTTGCCAGTCCTGGAGCTTGAGTGCTGAGCCTGAGCACTGTCCCTGAGTTTTTTTGCTCAAGGATAGTGCTCTACCACTTGATCTACAGCTCCACTTCCAGTTTTTTGTAGTTTATTGGAGATAAGAGTCTCATGAACTTTCCTGCCTGGGCTGGCTTTGAACCATGATCCTCAGATCTTAGTCTCCTGAATAGCCAGGAGTACAGTCATGAACCACCAGCACCCAGCTTACCTTTTCTCCTTTTGACATCTCTTTTACCTACTAAATACCAGACTTTGTGTTGTGTTGCACTTTCATTCTCTCTCTCTCTCTCTTTCTCTCTCTCTTTTTCATAACAGACTTTGAAATCAGGGCCTTACCTTCATTCTGTATAGTTATAGCAAGGGCTACCATGAAGTAAAAAAAATCAGCATGATAAAAATTGAAAAAAGCATGGACAGTTGAGCTAGAAAAGCTGGGTTTAAAGTTTTTTTTTTTCCTCTTGTAATCTCAGGCAGAGATCAGAAGATTGAAGGTTGAGGTCAGCCCAGACAAAAAGTAGCAAGACCCCATCTAAACAAATAAGTTAGGCATATTGGTTTATGTCTATGCTCCCAGCATAGGTAGAAGGATTGAGATTGGAGGCCAGCCCTTGACAAAAAGTAGAAGGGCTTATTTGAAAAATAATCAAAGAAAAATAAGGGGTTTGGGTGTGACTCATGTAGTATAGTACCTGCCTAGCAAGTCCAAGACCTGAGTTTAAATCCCAGTGCCCTCAGCACTAGTTTGTTGTTGTTGATTTGGTCATTATCATTTGCCGTATGACCTTGGCTAAATTATTTCTCTGGACCTCTTTCTAACTACATTTATAAAATGGGAATGATTATCACAGCAACTATTACATTGTATAGAGGTAGTAAAAATTATATAGTATAATGTAGATTAAACTCTGTAAACTACACAATTTATACCTGGAATAGTGTCTTCAAGGTTCATCTAAATTATAGCATATGTCTGCACTCCATCCTTCTTAGGCCTAATAACATCCCATTGTATTTATGCACCATATCTTTTCATCTGTCAGTGGACGCTTGAATTACTTTTGCCTTTTGGTTATTGTAAATAATGCTGTTGTGAGCATAGGTTCTGTTCAACATCTTGCTATCAGAACAGACATGGTAGTATATGCTTGGAATCCCCACACATGGATGGCTAAGACAAGGGTTCAAAGCCAGCATAGGCTATATAGTGAGACCTGTAATAAAAAAATAAGGTCCTGGGTTGGGAAGGTGGCTCAGTGGTAGAGTGCTTGCCTTGCATGCATGAGGCCCTGGGTTCGATTCTTCAGCTCCACATAAGCAGAACAAGCCAGAAGTGGTGCTATGGCTCGAGTGGTAGAGCACTAGCCTTGAGCTGAAGAGGTGAGGGACAGTGCCCAGGCCCAGAGTTCAGGCCCCTAGGTGGCCAAAATAAAATTAAAAAAAAAAAATAAGGTCCTACTTTCACATTTTGGGGCATATACCCTGAAGACCAACTGCTGGATCATATAATCTGTTAATTTTTTTTGAAGTTTTTGGGTAAATATTTTTATTATTATTATAAAGATGATGTACAGTGCGGTTACAGTTATGTAAGTCAGGTAGGGAGTACATTTCTTTTTGTGCTGTGTCACCCATTCTCTCACTACCCATTTTTTCCTCCTGTACCCACTCACAAGTTGTGTAGTTCTTTTTCAGCGTAGTGTCTAGTGAGTACCATTACTACATTTGTTCACCGTTAATTCTTCCATTTCTGTGCTCTCCTTACCCTCCCAAAGACATTTGTTTTGTTTTCTTTTAAATTTTTTTTGCCAGTCCTGGGGATTGAACTCTGGGCCTGGATGCTGTCACTGAGCTCCTTTTGCTCAAAGCCAGAATGCCACTTTCAGCTTTTTCTGTGATTAATTGGAGATAAGAGTCTCATGGATCTTCCTGCCCAGGCTGGCTTTGAATCACGATCCCCAGATCTCAGCCTCTTGAGTAGCTAGGATTACAGGCATGAACTTCTGGTGCCCAGCTGTTTTTAAATTATTTTTAATGAGAAACTTTTTTAATGAAGTTGGGCACTGGTGGTTCATGCTTGTAATCCTAGCTACTCAGGAGGCTGAGGTCTGAGGATCTCGGTTCAAAGCCAGCCTGGACAGGAAAGTTCTTGAGACTCTTTTTTCTTTTTTTCTTTTTTTGGGTCCGGTCGTAGGGCCTGAACTGGGCCTGGGCGCTGTCCCTCAGCTCTTCAGCTCAAGGCTAGCGCTCTACCGCTTGAGCCACAGCACCACTTCCGACTTTTTTCTTTTTGCTTATGTGGTGCTGAGGAATCGAACCCAGGGCCTCATGCATACAAGGCAAGTGCTCTACCACTGAGCCACTGAGACTCTTATCTCCAGTTAACCACCAGAAAACCTGAAGTGGCTGTGGCTCAAGTGTCAGCCTTGAGCTGAAGAGCTGAGGGACAGCTCCCAGGCCCAGAGTTCAAGCCCCCACGACTGACAAGAAAAAAAAAATTAATGAGTTTATTAAAGTTTATTTTCAGGAAGCACCCATTTTTGATTTGTCATGTTTAAAAAGTTTTCTTCATGTTATATAATAAAGATAATATAAGAATATAGAGTTATAAACTTCTCTTTTTATATTCTCTTATTCTCTGCTTGGACAGTATAGTATAGTTATCTTTGCAATGCTAGTTTGTATATACACACACACACACATTTTTTTTTTTGCCAGTCCTGGGGCTTGAACTGAGGGCTTAGGTGCTATCCCTGAGCCACTTTGTGCTCAAGGCTAGTGCTTTGCAACTTGAATCACAGCACCACCTCCAGCTTTTTCTGAGTATTGGAGAGAGAAGAGTCTTACAGACTTTTCTGCCTGGCTGGCTTCAAACTGTACTCCTCAGATCTCAGCTTCCTGAGTAGCTAGAATTACAGGCATGTGAGCCACCAGCGCTCAGCTAAAATAAACTTTTTTTTTTTTTTTTTTCCAGTCATGGGGCTTGAACTTCTGGGCCTGGGCACTTTCCCTCAGAACTTCAGCTCAAAGGTAGTACTCTACCACTTGAGCCACAGTGCCACTTCCGGCTTTTTCTGTTTATGTGGTGCTAAATGCATGCAAGGCAAGCACTCTACCACTGAGCCACTTTATCAGCCCCTAGAATAAATCTTAAAAAGTCTTCTGTACGGGGCTGGGAAGGTAGCTCAGCGGTAGAGTGCATGCCTTGCAAGCATGAGGCCCTGGGTTCGATCCAGCACCACATAAACAGAAACAGG